CAAATCGAACGTATTTGGGGCTGGCCCGAGTAGACCCAGGTTAACTTGGGGAAGCAAATCGAACGCACTATCTGTCTTGCAAATAGTTGTTGCTACTACGTACGATGGGAGCTTCCATCTTTAATCTGAAGACACTTAAACGTACGCGCCATCTCGTGGCAACTTTCATAACGATCCCAACGAACATTCCTTTGAGAAGGTTCCTGATACCATCCCTGTGCATTCCACTGTTTCGGCGTGTATGTGAACACAGGAACTAACAATGTGGACTAACAGGGTTTACTAGAATCCCACCACTCCACCACAGAGTCACCGCAGTAGACGTTAGATGAGCGCTGTCGCTCCGCGGCACTTGTTACCAAAATCACTTGGTATTAGTAGGCTTCTTATATTCCTAGGAAACTCAGCCAACCAGGTAATGTACTCGCTGCTAATATTAAGTCAATACGGGTGCTGTTGAAACTGGCATGTTCTGTTCTAACACAATGAAGTGGAAGCGAATAGAAGTGGTTTATTGTGACACTGTAGAATTAACCACCGTTTTCCAATATAAAATATAGTGTGAACGAAATGATAACATTTGAATAATAACAAAGACAAAATTATGTGTTGCTAAGTGTCTTCTTATCATTAATTTCAGTGGCGATAGGGTACTGTGTGGCAAGGTATGGTTATTCAGCAACTGCAACCAATCAGTTGTCATTCAGACGAGGGGATCGCATTGCAATCACTGACAAATCTGGCGAAAACAAGGGATGGTGGAAGGGAGAACTTGCGGGCAAGGTGTGTAGAAAAGTCCAAAGGCACAATCGTATAGTCGGCAATATCTCATGATTGAATGTTTCGCAGTTTTCTCCACTGTAAGACGTTTAACCGTTAATGTTTGTCCTGCCCCGAAGTAGCATGCAACAACGATGGGGGTGATATGCTCACACACTATGGGCACGTTTGTTTGGAACGAATCCGTCTGATCAGGGTCGCTTGATCCACATCGCCCCAAACAAACGCAAACTCACTTTCAACGGTTTGCGTTTTGCTGTGACCTATCACGGTATGGTTCATAACAAAGAACAAGCTGTGATTGGCTGAGGAGCGGGCCACCATATTGGATCCCCGTCGTATCCACCTCGCTAGCAGAGTAGGGTTCGGTGGATCGAGATCCGTGGATCCGACCAAACAAACAGTCAGATCAAGAGCATATAAAGAAGGAGAGCGTACAATGGTAAAATGCTGAAACCATGTTGCAGTATTAGTCGAATTAATAAACTTTCCCCGTGTTATTTTGACGATTCTTTGCAGTATTATTGATTAGCTGTCCTACCTTGTTCATATAAAACAAACTGCATGTCCCTACGATGCCCCTACGTTGAGATAATGAGCGGTGAAAATCTGGTATTTTCGCCGAACACCGACTAGATTAGTCAGTTACTGTGACCGTCTCTCGTGTGGGCGGAGTGTACGGCCCATGCACACTGTGGCCAGTGTGTTGCTTCCGGTCGCCGCTGTGTAGCGCCATAGTGGCGCTGACTCACGTCATACTACCAGAGTTTACTATACATCCAGCGTGAGGTGGGCACAGGTGGGGGTCATCACTATGGCAATCAATAACAGACGTCATTCATTCCATTTGTCAATTATTGACGGAAACACCCGAGGTTTACCGAAGTTATAACACTTCGAGAGACAGTCACAGTAACTGACTGATCTCGAGTCAGTTTTCGGCGAAAATACCAGATTTTCACCGCTCATTATCTCAGCGTAGGGGCATCGTAGGGACATGCAGTTTGTTTTATATGAACAAGGTAGGACAGCTGATCAATAATACTGCAAAGAATCGTCAAAATAAAACGGGGAAAGTTTATTAATTCGACTAATACTGCAACATAATTTCAGCATTTTACCGTTGTACGCTCTCCTTCTTTATATGCTCTTGGTCAGATCCACGGATCCAGTGGATCGAGATCCGTGGATCCGACCACACAAACACGCCATAGATTTAACAAGGTTCATGTAGCATCTGCATTGTTTATTCATGGTTCGCACAGTCCTTGAAAAGTCCTTGAATTTAGTAAATGTTGATTCTGTACTTGAAAAGTCCTTTTGTACCATCAATAATGTGCAAACCTCAATAAAAATTGTGTTAAATGAGCTTAAAAAGCTATAGACACGATAGACAGTTAAATGATGATCACAAATTACAGTACGGTTTGTCAGTAAAATCAGTCAGTAAATCAAGGTATGTTGTAGAAGTGACAGTGTTTAGAAGGGTTTATTAATGTGATTCAGGTAAGTTTTAGAGGTGACAGTGATTAAGAATTGGGTTATTAAATTAATCCAGGTATGTTTTGTTCTGTGAATGAATTCCGATAAAATGTCCGATAAAATGTCCTTGAAAGTCCTTGAAAAAAAATTCAGTCCTCTTGTATTGGTTTTGTTGCAGATTGCTTACTTCCCAATGACGTATGTCGAAGAGGAGTGATATTGACTGTCGACGTTCTTGCATGCATTTCTTGGCTCCCATCTTAAAGGAGGAATGTGTCTATCCAACACCACACTCGAATAGTTGACGCCCTGTATTCTTTATAAGTATGTTTCGATTAGTTCGTCCAATTTCACTGCTGCTTACTAATAATATGACAAATTATCTGCATTTATCAGCAGTTATTGACAATTTGAGTCGTAACGGCTACCGAAGCGAGAGCAACAGATGTTTCTGCAATGTGCATTATTACGTCCATAATGGACCATATGCATTCTCAGCATGTGACTTGCGTTAGAAAATATGAGACTTGCGTTTCACAAATTTTTTGGCTAAACTCTTATTATTGCCAAGTGGCCGTGTATTAACTTGAACCAAATGTTTGGTTAGGCTGTCAATAAACAATTATGATGTCTGGTTTGTAAGGTAACGTGCAGAGGAATTGGACAAAATTATATGAATCAGATGGTGAGGTTATAATAATATACGTCGTGTGTCAGTTATTCTAGCATTTGCCAACAGTTGGGTGCGGATTAGGTAGTCATATTAACCGCCTTTAAACCTGCCAGGTAGCTAGAAATGTATGTATTGTGTACACAGGAAACCAGTGCTGATAGGGGTCGTCGTCATTTCTATTGCCTGCCTGTTTTCAATTGTTGCCTACTAATTTATGGACATATGGATCTTTGAGTTGTTTTAATATTGTACTTGTTAACTTAACTTGTTATGAAATTTAGGTGCTGAGCACAACTCATTTTATCTTTGAACAGATGCAGGGTATTATTAACAGCTGTGTTGGTGTGCTAGGCAGAGTCTGAAAAAGCATTTGACATTGCTTTATTGCTGTACTTCTATGCCTTTCTAATTATCGATTTTATTACGTGGGACTAAATAACCTCTAAAATAGAGGTAATGAACCCTAAGATACAAGTATAGAATATTGAATGTTATTTTAGAAGAAAATGTCTGATCATGTTTTCTACATTTTTAATACGATTTTAGCTAGTTATTTGAAATTTAGTATACAATAAACATACGAAAGGCTATCATGTAAATAGTAGAGTGTTATTGAAGTAGTTATGAGTATTGATATGGAATCGTAGTTGGGAAGTTCTAGCAGTAAACGACTAGTGTTTGTACAGTGAGTAAAGCTACCGTATGGTTTAGTCATCTAAGTGGGTGCAACTTCTTGTTTTACCGCATGGCAGCAATATCTGTTGTTTTTATTTAGTCCATAAGACTTTGACATCCGTATGCGATTATATCTCAATAAAACGACTGCATTACCTGTTATACATCTTGTTTGTAATTTGTACGGTTATTTTCAACTTTCTTACTTTTTGGCCATAATATTTTGGCTGGCTATTGCTGTCTTCATCAGATCATTTGTTACGAAACAAACTGCTTCGAGTCGTGCTGGAGTCGTTGGACATGGTTCGTTTCAATGGGAGCAGTTCCTTTTTTTTCTGCATTCGAAACTGCGAGTACCCCACGTGACCAATGTTGGCCCTGATTGGGAAATTCGATTTCTACGGCGTAATTTCACAGACTAACGAATACATTGTTAGTATGTATTCGTTAGTTTGTGGTAATATCTCAAAAGGCTTGCTGCGGTGTAGAACAAAAACAGAGGCGTGCTTGCTCAATAGAAGCATATATACCCACGTAGGAGCGACTTAGATTCCGCTACGGTTCGGAGAATAACCTTTAGCTGGCAAATCCCGGAATTGGGGATGTGGAAGTCCATACTTAATTGAAAGGAAGCGGTGACGCATGAAACAATAATTGGCCTCTGGTCGACGATTGTCCAGCAGCTCCGATCGCTGCAGGTCTGTAGCTTTTCAGCACTACTCGACACCGGCTGCAGATTTTCCCAGAGAGCTGGAACTACCTTATAGTTTAGATTTTGTTTTTATCAACGGCGTTAAGTGGCAACTTTCGCAGTCAGTGGCGAACTGTAGAAGTGCAGGAGCAAGTGTCGCAGTGATATTATTAACAGGCGTGGTTTATGTTGTTAAATATTTGGGGGATCGCTTCCGATAGAAGCGGAGACGATCCTGATAACGCCACTAGGTCGCAATCGCAACCGACCCTTCCTCCCGCGCACAGGCGCTTGGACACGTTTCGATACAAATTTGAAAAGGATTGTAAATAAACACGAAATGTATTTACTACCAAAGTCGCAATGTTTATGTATGCATATTCTCTATCGACTAATAATTCAACGTAAATGCCGTTTAAATGCATCCTCTGCAACAAACTTTCACCTTGTAACGCATGCCACTGTGCACAAACTCACAAAAGGATAGAGTTCGTGCAAAGTGGCGTGTGTGAGGTGAAATAATTGTGTATTACGGAGGAGCGTCTGAACTGCAATCACAGGAAACTTTCAAATAATAGGCGAAAGAGAATAGATTAACGTTGAGACTTTGGTAGTAATTATGTTTCGTGATTATTTGCCATCATTGAAACGCTCCAGGTTCCTGTCCCGCGCAGTACCCAAAGTAGCTCTAGTTCAGTTAACGCAGTAGGTACGCCTGCGGCAACTGTACGTGGGCTATAGTACTATAGCTATACCCACAACTGACGCAAGTACCGTAGGGCCTACAGTCTCATTTTATAGCTGGTTGCAAATTATACTCGAGTTGGGTTCATAAAACGTGAAAACGCATGAATAAGAAGAAAAATAACAAGGAATTAAAAAGATTCAGATAGAGCACGAATGATTCCAATTGTGATTAGATATTCTAGCCGACTATATAAATAGCAATAAATTGCTGAACAGGAATATTAGCATAATTTATCTGAAATTTTAGAATGAAAATAAAGCGTTCTGGACTTGTGTGCCACTATTAGATTGACAATTTGATGTGCTTGATTTAGAGAAAAAATTGAAGCGGCTGCTGAAAGTCCCTCGTGAAATAATAGAAATCTTGACAAGTTGAGTTCGTGGTTGTCATAACGTAACCCATGGATCAACTATGACTCTACACTGGTTTCCGCGTTTACCGACCTAGACTTTTACACCAGATATATGAAAAAAATGACGCGTTTATGAGCCAGAAATTGTAGATGGGCTTTACTTGACGCTATAAGCGTCACATCAAGACGTGGTCACCGTTTGTCACCGCTTGTCAAGTCAATACTGGCATGAGGTGCGACATGCCAAGCATTGCATCCTGTCGCCACCGTTTGCTGAATACAATACTTGGGTAAATACGGTACGCGAATATCCGGTTTACCACGTGGCTTTGCGCACCCCAGGCAAAATGGGTTAGCTATACGCTCTTGCACATACGCGCAAGGTATTGGTAAGTTAGGTCGCAATATCTACGCTATATTTCAGACACTATTCTAACCCGCAGCTTGTTAGTAATACAAGCTAACAACTTTATGTTAGCGTGTGTTGCATATGAAAAAGATGGCATTGGCCAGATTACTAAAACACAAAGACGACGAACAGTGTCATTAGTACTGCTAATGATGGCGACGCTACTCTGATTGAGGATACTCGGTCTGAAATTGTTTTACGTTTATTGTAATGATGGGATGGACCTCTGTCGACATACGATCGGACACACTTACACGGAACCAGCGCCCGCTCGTCATCCGACAAGCAGTAAAATCGTCGACGACGTCATCCCCATACTCACCAGTGCAGATGTCTGCGCAAAAAACAGCCTGCCGATCGTGATAGGAGTGTTATTGGCGGCGACTGCTGCGGGCGCGACAAGACAGAGGGCGATACGGGAGACGTGGGGAGGCGGAGAAAATGCTGCGGTCGCCGACAGCAACGTCACCATCGTGTTCGTGCTTGGAACGTGCGATAGGGACGTCACTCGGCAACAACTCGCCATCGAGGCGCGCGCGCACGGTGACGTCATCCAGGGCGCCTTCGCCGACACCTATCGCAACTTGACCATGAAGACGCTTTTCTTGCTACAATGGACATCGTCGCAGTATCCGGACGCCACCTATCTGCTGAAAACCGACGACGACGTATTCATCAACGTCGACTCGCTACTGAAGCTGACAAGGAGCACTGCGCGCACGGGTGCGTTAATCGGGTGTATCAATCGGAGATCTAAGGTCGTGCGCTCACTGGGCTCGAAGTGGCAAGTGTCGCGCTCACTGTACAGCGCCCCCTACTATCCGGCGTATGTGGGCGGAGCTGGCTTCCTCATGTCAGCGGATGTTGTTAAGGCCCTGCATGCAGCCGCCATGCGCACTGCTATGATTCCCGTAGAAGATGCCTTTATCACGGGCGTGGTAGCAGCGAGGGTCGGTGTTGTTCCGTGCAATAGTGATCGGTTTGGCTGGTACGGTGCTGTGAGGCGGACACCGTGTGAGGCTCAGTACGCAATTACTACTCATCTGCTGATGGGAGCAACCATGCTCGAATTGTGGAATATGACAAAGCGCGCTAAAACCACGAAGTGTTAACGAGATCAATTATTCGAGTTTTAACGCGTTTGGCGAATCTTAACCTGTTCAATGTATAAAATCCCGACTACATTAAACTTTAGTTCGCCACAAACGGAAAATTACATGTTTTGTTATTTTTGTCTCGGAGTCTCATTAGCTCACAAGCATTCGCCTGGCGAAACTCGTGGTTCCCTCCCTGCGAATCAAATAATATGAAAACCCTCTTTTTCACATTGGAGTATTAAATTTAACTAGCTATTACCCGTCCTCCAGACGAGTTTGAGTGGGGGTCTGATTTGAGGATGGCGGTTTAACCATTTATCTCTCACTTTTAGTTGAGGATGTATTTACAGTAAATACTGATATGTAGACTCGAGTCATATATCAATATTTGTATCTAAATATTTATAAAATCTGAAATTTTACCTTAAGGGAAAGTTTACTCAGCGTTCTAGGGTTATTTTCAGCTAATTTAGGTTATAATTACGCTACATAAAAAGTTTCATGGTTCAATCACCATTATAAATATTTTTTTTAATGTTTTAAAACTAACGACTACAGTTTGATTACAAC